TTTTTTTACTGTTTTTTATTTTAACACAGAGATAGTAAAAATTATTTCAAAATAAAACTATAACGAATAGTTTATTTATAATAATGTACCATAAATAAAGAGTTGTGAAAGTGTATTTTTTGGATTTCAATCATCTCAAAAACTTTATTTTTCGAAAAACGATATGTGTTGAAGTTTTTGCCTTTGCAAGAACTTCAACTTTTTCAGCCGTAGTCTCAGACTTCAACAACACTGCAACACATCGACCATATGGAAGATGGAAAGCAGCTCCTGTTTTGTGAGCCATTGAGTGAATAATCCCAAGGAATGTGGAAGAAAAGGCCATACCATCAATGGTAGCTGCACTGTGCATCTTCTCTCTTGCAACAAAATCCCTGTTGAATGACTTGACCAAGTCGTCTAAGACTAATTTGACTGACTTTTAGCAAGACCATCTGTGTACTCATTTGCCATAACTGAGACATAAGCATCAACCACATGAACCAAAACATTGATACAACAGTCTGCTTTAACTCTTTTGGTAATGAGACACAGAACATTGGGTCGATGATAGCAACTGATGGAATCAATGAATAATCTGCAAGTAGACACTTCTTGCCAGTCTCTGTGTTTTTGATGACAGCAAGTGGAGTGACTTCAGACGCCATTCCAGTTGTCAAAGATCTCATGAAACAAATTTGTGAGAAGTACAAGAAGGATGGCAAGCCAAGAGTGTACACTGTAGAATTCAGATTTGGTAAGATCAAGATTTTCTTCAAAGTTGGTGTTCTTGCTGAAATTGAAGAAATTAGAGAGAACAGAGTCACTGAACTTGTCGGTGGTCTTCATATGTGTGCAAAAGCCTTTGCTCAAAGAAAGCTTATTGAACAGAAACGCAATGAACATATTGCTATTACTGCCATGAAGACACCATTCACACTTGGTACCAATTCAGAAATTGGGTCTGGTTCAGATTGTTCCAAAAGGTCAGACCAATATCAAGAGGAGAAGATTTGATGAGGAACTCGCAGCTAAAGACAAAGAAATTGAAACTGTGAAGAAGAAGCTTGCTGAAGAAATCGCAAAGAGAGAAGCCGCCGAGAAGGCACTTTCTGAGATGAAAATCAAGAACGTCGACTTGGAAGCTTTAGTCCAAGAGTTTAAAAAAGATATTGAGTCAAAGAAGATAGCACTTGACAAAGCTGATATGAAGTCACGAAAAGACCAAAAACACATTGAGGAACTCCAAGGTAATATTAAGAGAGGAATGGAAGACTTAAGCAAGTTAACCAATGAGTACAAGAAACTTGAAGCCGATAATCAAAGACTTCAAGATGAAATTACTGAACACAAAGCGACTATTGCTAAGAAGGATTGTGTCATCACCGAGTTGAACAAAGACATTGAAGATGAGGAAGGCGAAATTTCCGACTTAAAGAAGAAGTTAGTAGCCGAAGGAGACAATTCAAAGGATCTCGAGACACAATTACGCATGAAGAGAGACAACAAAATAGTTGATTTGGAGAAGGCAGTTGCTGCTTTGAAAGACCAGAACACTCAACTTGATGCTGCTAAAAAGGATATAAAGAAATGGTCTGTTGAAGACGCTTCGAAGATTGAGAATAATAAATCACATATTAAGGCACTTGAAGTACAAAAGAAGATGGCTTTGGACGACAAAGCGGAGGCTGAGAAGACTACTGCTGACTAATCTGATAGAAGAAAGAAAATGGAAGACGAAGTCAAAGCACTCAATGCACAAATCTCATCAATTAAAGTCCAAGTCAACGCACCGGCTTCTGTTGCTCAAGAAGAAGAGAAGAACACGTTGAATGCAAATTGCTGGAATTCAAGCCCAACTTGATGAAGAAAGACAGAAAGCTGACAGTGCAGATGCTGCGAGAAAGGCTGCTGAGAGCAAATTTCAGGAAGTCTAGTTCAACTTAGATGAAGCAAATAACACTAAAGAAAAGTCGACTAAAAAGGCGAATGACTTGAAAGTCCAAGTTGATCAACTCACTGATGAGAAGAAGAAGAATGAGCAGGATTTGGAGGAAATGGACAAAATGATAAACGACTTGAATGCCGAAGTTGACAAGGCACAGAAGCAACTTGACACTGCAAATGATGACAAAGATGGCAATGAAGCGATGAAATAGAAATACCAAGACGAACTGAAGAGCATTAGAACTGAACTTGATCAAGAATAGAAAAAACACATTAAGACCCAATTGATTAAAAAAATAGTACAAGAAAGATATTGCTAAAATCATAGTCAGAGCTGAAACCCTTGAAAAGAAAACTCCAGATGACTGAACAAGAGAAGGTCAAGACTATGAGAGATTATAACGCCGCTACTGAATAAAATGATAGAACAAAGACAGAACTCGACGAGAAACAAGACGAATGCGACAAACTTGAAAACGACTGGTCTGAGATGAAGACTGAATTGGAGGCAACACTTAAACAAGCTGCTAAGACTTATAAACAGTCGAAGAACACTTATGAGAAGGAATTGACAAAATTGAATGAACAACTTGATCTTGAAAAAACCACTGCTCAACAGACTAAAGCACAGAAGAAGAAATTCGCCGAGAAGCTTAGAGAAGTGATGGAGAACGAAAACGAATTTGGTGAATATAAGGAACAAGCCGAGAAGTCCATTAACTCATTGACTGATCAAAAGGCTGAATTACAGAAGGAACTTGAGAAGAAGAGAGCAATGAAACAAAAGCTGACAAAAAAAACTCAAAGACTTAGAGCTAAAGTCACCGATTCAGAAGCTAAATTGGCAGAAACTGCTGCTACTGGAGCTTCTATTGCTAAATTGAAAGCGAAACAGAAAAGGAAGAAGCACAAGACGCAGCTGCTAAAGCTAAGAAACAAGCTAAACAGTATACCAGAAAGGTTGAAGAGGCTGAGAGAAAGCTTGTAGAATTTGAACAGAAAGAATCCACACTCAACACCCAGATTGGTAAGAAGAAGACACAACAATCGGTCAGAGATGGCGAAACAGAGAATCGTTGAGTTGGGAGATCAGGTCAGAAAGGCTGGTGAAGATCTGACAACAAACAACTTGAAGTTGATCGGGTGAGTGCAATTATTTAACAGGTAAATATTATAAGAAGGATTTCTATCCGTTTATTATTAACCAAATAATAAAATTTGCCTTTTAAAAACTCGAAAAAATAGATTATTAACAAATGAGTAATTTACATTCAAGATCGTATTTGTAAGATAATAATAAACAGACGTACAGTCTCATTTAACCATAGAACGCTGATTCAAATCCACTTATTTTCTATCCCCTCCCTTTGGGACCAACTGGAAAATACTATTTATTATTTCTTTTTATACAAAAAAATAAAATCAACAAATAATCAAAACCTTACTTATTTTTTTGTTTACAATTGATACATTATGCGCGGAAGTGTTCATAACAGCACCAACGTCAAATCCTTTATTTAATGTTAGTGCTTTTTCTTATTGTTGATGTCTCAACAATAAAAAACAATTGTTGAGACAAGTGTTTTTTAATTATCATTCTGAGTGTTCAAAGACGTGTTCTTTATCGAAGTCGGAATCCTTTATTAAACTTATCAATTTGGGTTAGTTAGTTGGGTTAAAATTGATTTTTGTCAAAAATTATTATATTATATTATTGATAAAATATAATTATTTTAAATAGTTAATTTTTATGTTAATTATGTTTATTCAACATCTGTTTTTTTCATAATTAAAAAAGTGGATTATAATTCAAATCCTATAATTTTTATTATTTTTTCTAGTTCCTCCTTCCTAAGGTTAAAGATACTTTTTGTTGATTTTTTAACGACATTTTACAAATCCAAAAAGATATAATCAAATAAAAACTGCCAAAAAACTTGATAATTAAAAAAAATACTATAAATATTAATAAACAATTATAAAATAATTGTAAAGAATTAATACAAAAAGCGAAACAATATTGAACACGTTTCGAACTTTTTTATTTATACAAACACCCGAAAGTTATGAAATTATAAAATTAAATTTCAGAAACTACAGTATGGTCATTTTACCTTATGTGAAACTTTACCTTATGCAAGGAACCTGTTATAATATATAGTTATTTTATAATATAAAATATTTTTTGATTCTTCCAAAAATTGGTAAAAATAACACAAATGTATTTGAAGAAATGAATGATTTCAATTATATTATTGTTAGTCAAATATAACCACATATAATTTACAATAAATTATTATTTTTAATAAAGAATATTATTTGTGTTTATTATATTTGATATGTTGTGATAACTCTTGTGTTCATAGCAGTTTAATAGAAAAAACACATGCTATTTAATATAATTTAATAACTAAATTGATATTAGAATCGTTTAAATTATTCGATGAAAAATTGTGAGGGATCAATGAGCATCGTGAAATTGTGACCGTTTTAAAACGATTTTCCATGACAGCCCACTTTATTTTTATTGTTTTGGACACCAGCCTAAATAAGAAACTCACGACTGAGTAAACACCGTCCAACGCGAGTTTGTTGTCATCGTTTGTTTTATTAACAAACCTTTTGCGCAATTGTATTTCTTTTGGCAACAAAGCAAGCTGATAGTAAGTATCATATTATTTTACAAAACAAGGAAAATAAAATCGGTATCGGAAATTTCTCTTTACGCTAGTCAAAGGCGCGGTGTCGAGATTTTAAACATTAATTTATTTAATTTAAAGTTCTGGTTTTCTTGTTCAAAATTATCCAAAAACAACCTCAAAATAGCTTTTTGCATTAGGCAGCGTGTCTGGTATTTTTAGAATTGAATTGTTTTAACTATTAAAATGGTTTTCTTATATTAAAATTAAATAATAAAATCCTTGCATAAGGTAAAGTTTTACATAAGGCTAAATGTCCATACTGTATTTAAACACATTTTTAAGATATGTGTTTAAATCGAAAATATTTTAGTAAATTTTTAATATAAATGGTTGTTTTTCCGTTCCATATAACATTTCAGTATTTCCAAATCCATTAATTTATTTCGTATTTTATAAAAATAATTACAGTAACAATTCTATAGTTACTGTATTATATTAAATTATAAATTTAATTTATTATATATATATTAATACAATAAATATATTTACTTTAAAAATATTAAATAATGTACTAAAATTATAACAAAAAAGTAATTCATTTTTTGTCAAAAAACATCACTTTTCTATATAAAATAAATAAATAATTTGATATTAGTTAAGTAAATACAATTTATTAATAAAGAAAGTTGATTTGTCGTAATTAAAACATTTTATTTATAAATTAGTTGTTTTTGATATATAAAAAATAATTTTATTAATTAAATAAATTAATGTTTTTCTAATCAAGGCTTTTTTTCAATAAGTAGCTTCTTATTGATACCTTTCATCTCGTTTTTTTCCTTCACTATTTTTTCACATTCCAATCTATTTTTCTATCCAATGTGTTCTCAAGAGCAACATGTGTAGATGTTGTTGTTTTTGATTCGGCCATTTCCCCCCAAATTTACACACCTCCCTTGCACAATTTATTTCAACCCTGACCACACCTATAACAAAGTCTAATGGGTTGAAATTGGGGTCATTTCCTGCTCTTATTGAAAAACTGGCATCATTGGGAATGTGTGGTAAAAAAATGATACCAGCTTGTTTGAATGCACTAATTATGTTTTCACCATTTGCGACACATTCCCAAGAGTAAACAAGCTCTTTTATTTTTTCTTCTTCGGACATGTGTGAATTTTTTTTAAAACATTTTTAAACTCTTGAGAATCCACTAGTAAAATTTTTCCCGTTTTTTCATATTTTTTACCTTCCTTTTCCATTAAGTTAAATTTGTGTTGAAGAAAATTGGTTTTGTCTCCCAAAAAGGTTTTTTGAATCCCGAAAATTCCCAAGTCCATCGGCTGACATAAATGGGAACTATGGGGAACTTCTCTGATTATTTCGACACAATTTTCCATAAATAATTTTTCTATTTCTTCTGAAAAGTGACCCGAAAATCCATCAATAATGAGGTAAGCTTTCGTGTTTTGTCTTACACCCATGTAGTCGCGTTTTACCCTATTATTTACGGGAAAAATAGTTTTTTCAACCACAAAGTATAAAGTTTTGTATTTAAAACTCCCGATTTTTGATGTCGTATTAAAGCCCGACTTTTTAGGGAAATAATTGTTTCATCGGCTATAGATAGCCTTTTTGTTACAACTAGCGGAATCATTTTTGTGCCATCAAGACAACCACAACATAGCATACTTGTTCTTGAATTGTCTCGTTCAACTTCATTAAAAACATATTCACCCTTACCAACTTCCATGTAAACCAATTTGGAACGAGCATCAACCCATTGGTCAAAACCGACCTCGTCAAGGTTGTAAATGAGCTCAAAACGGCATCCGTCTATTTTTTTCTTTAATTCCGTATAATATTGCAAAATAGACTCTTGTGTTACTTCTGCGCGTTTAAGTTCCATAACTGGTGCAATTTTAGGCTCAATTTCGGGAACATGTGTAATTATTTTGTGGAGTTGTTTGGTTTCTATTTTTTTGCTGAAATTTTCATAAATAAAACAACTTGTTTCTTCTTGACTCGCTTTTTTCGTTTTTCTATTTTTAATAGCTTTTTGAATTTCCTCAATTTCTTCATAATTTAGGATCCTTTTTCTTCCCTTTTCGGGGTTTTTTAACCATATTTTCTTCTTTTTTAATTTTGTCTATTTTAGACTTCACACTTCTATTTTTAGAAGTAAAGAAAAAATTTCTAAAGCATTTGTCACTGAAAGATTTTTGGACTTTAAAATTATTAAAGTATTTTCTGGTAATATTTCCAAACAATATCTTACTTGATTTCGAAAATAAACAAAACGTGTTTTACTAAAATGTTCGTCAAGTTGTTTAAAAATGTCAATAATAGAGGGAAATTTTTTAAATACTCAATAATGTGAGTCGAGCGAGGTACGACGGGACCTTTCATGCTTTTGGAAAGGCTTTCGATCTTTTCTTCTCGAAATTTATATTTATACTTTTGATGGGGAATTTTTGATGTATCAATTGGTTTGGACATGAATGTGTTATTATGTTTATTGGTGTTATCATTGTCTTATATTGTTGTTTATAACTTATATTCATTACGTTGTTGGTTAGACGTTTGTATTTTATTTATTTTGTTTACCATTCTTTATTCTAAAAAGAAAGTTATTAACTCTAATCTAATATATGTTCAAGTTAGTTCGTTTTTAATATTTTAAGAAAAATACTTAATAATACTTTAATAATATTTTGATAATTATCAATTACATTTTAGATTACTAAAAAGGTTTTATTTTATAAGTTTTAAAGAGTTGCTTTGTTTATAATTTTATCAAACAGTAACAAAACCAATTCTCTTTATAATTATTAATAACTATAATTATAGTATATACTTGAACAAAAAATGAAATAAAACCATAAAATTACTTATAAAATGCAAGTAAAGTGCCAACCAAAGCCTTTAATTTCTTTTCGATCGTTTTTATTGAACTTAGCAATACACGCAAATTTAAAGGATGTCATGTTGAAACTGTTTCAAAATGTTTTTTCCGTCGAGTTTTGCTTGAGCAACTACAACCAAAGAAGACGTACAAAGTTGTTATCAACGTGTTTTTCACCGTTTTTCTTTCTTTTTTCCTCATTAAATAATCAAAATGCAGTTTTGGCAGATTTATCTACCCGGCGGATAAAAGCGCTGCAATACCATTCACAAGCAATTTAACTTGTTGTTTTAACATTCTTTTTGTTTCGCCTCAAGTAAAAAACATGAAAAAAATACAAAAACTTAAAATTGATGCATACATTTTTTTTACCAAATCAAAGTAATTGTAACACGCAAACTTTCCCATAACACCAAGATTTACCAAAAAAAGAGAGAAAAA